CTTTATGCTCACCCTATTCAGAAGTGCAAACTCCATGGGAATAACTGGCAAGAATGGACAAAGAGGCCACAGATCTTCAGACCTTCTTGAGGTAGAGGGGCTGTGATCTAATGAGGGTAGTTCATCCCTGTTTACAGAAATTTATTTTTTGTTTCCTTCTTTTTTCTCCACTTGCAGTAATATTCTCTTTGCCACTTATTTGGTGATTATTGCCTTTCTGGAAAGTGAGCTGTATTACTCAAGCTCTTGAATAAGGCCTTAAATTAAATTAATAAAGCCTACCCTGGACTTCTATAAAGTAGTAAAGCAGAAAGAATTTGAATAGTTGAAGTGCTGGGTAAAATTTGGCACAAATATAATTTTACAGCTCACTCTCAATTGAGCAACCTGCTAAACAGCAATGGAGAAAGTAGTCTTGGCCACAGTACCTACAAGAATTGAATCAACCTATTAAGGAACACTGGCTTCTGATTTCCCCAGATTATGCTGAAATTTATTGACACAGGTGAAGTGAGACTCTTTCCCCAAATCACAGCAAGAGTGAGACTAGTGGGAGAAGATGTGCCTTTTCAGTCAAGAGGGTTAGGAGATGGTATTCAGGTACCTGAACTGTGAGGATAAGAGGATGATGTACTGCCAAATTCAGTGGTATATTCCAAGTACATATGAGAGAAGTTCTTATTTATCTTACTAAGTTAAATATCAGAGTATGTGTGGTTTCTTGACTCATTTTAAGTTTTTTCCCCCAGAAAACCCAGGTAGAAACAGGAAGAATAAATTGTTGAGAGGTTATGGTAACTGAAGAGTCAAAGGTTTAAAGTAGAGCTAAAAGTAAGCAGGATGGCAGTAGCTGAATTCCTCAAATGTTAAAGTGAAAAGAAATTAAGCCATTTAGATTTTAACACTGCACAGCCTTAATGTTTTTAGGTCACCTGAAATACTGCCTACATCAAATTATATTTAGTTGACAAACTGTAAATAGATTTGATCCTGAGTGTGTAGTAGTGTGATGGATTAAACTGTTACCTCAGTCCTAGCAAGAACCATTTTCCAATATATTGCTATTTACATGTATCTACTTATCTATAGCCAAAAAACCCTAGTATCTTTTACGTATATATGCACACACACAAATATACTAGTATTAATAAAAACTTCTGAAAAAATCAGGACAAAGGCTGGTTTCATAGCTCTTCTCCCAGGCTAACGCACTAGATAACCGTCAGCCTTGAAGTTTCTTTCAATCTAACAAGGGCCATCCCAATCAAGTAGCCACATGTCCACATGAGAAAAAAAAACAGGAGAAAAACTGAGGTGATGAGTAACACTTACATACCAAACCAGAATCACTTCCATTTTAATCACCCTTCAAAACCAGAACTTATTCTCAAACTGCACAAGAACTACTGAATACTCAACTGTTTGGGTTTGGATACTAAGTTTGTTTCACACCATGTAGAACACAGTGGTGACTGCAAGGGTGCAGAGTGAGGGGCCTTCTAGTGAGAGGACAACTGCTATGACTGTTTTTCAGTATTTTCTAGCTTTTAACCTGTGATCCTCTGTCATGCTTTATCAACACCCACCACAGCATGCTTTAAGAAAAAAACAAACCACCATCCAAAACCAAAACCAACAACCAAAAAAAACATCAACACGTTTCAGCAGCAGTTGCCTACTAGAAAAGAAATCCAAAACCAGACTTCAATGAAACTGGCATTTTTACTTTAAAATGGGAAGCAGAAATTGTTAGCACAGCATTTCTTATGAGAATAGATAAGACAACTGTACTCCGTGATGCATTAATCAAATGTGATCCTAGTTCTTCAAAAAAGAAAACCCAAATAGAAAGTGGCATGGACACAGAACATTAAATACAGGGTTCTGAAAGCAAGATTACTGGTGCAACATTAATCCATGCCTACTTCTCTCAGTTCTCTCCATCAGTAAAAACCACTATGCAATTAGACATACTTGTCTGTGGTTAAAAACTTTTCTAAAAAACAGCTAGTAAAATGCTACTCCAAACAACCCTCATACACCTACTCCATAAGCTTGTGCAAATTCCACAGTATGCATTTAAAAAAGGAGAATCCTCACAGCTGCCACGATAAAAATTATGCAGCTGAAATTCTAGGAAAAATTGTGTCCTCAATTAAGCAACTCTGACTGAAGTCACAATACCTAAGCATAGCTTTTCTTATAAGCACAGAACTACTTTAAATGCTGGAGAGGCCTTAAACAGCTACATGGTTGGATCTATCTCTGATAACCAACAGCTAACCTTTGGAAAACAACTGCAGATGAGGAGGAAATGAATATACTTCAAACCAGGAAACTCACGCAAATTGTTACAAAGAAAAGCTTTTGCAGGGGAAAGAAGATGAAGGAAAGAACCACCATTCAAACAAAAATAGTCCGAAGTATAACAGGGCTCCATTTAAACCTAAGGATAGAAAGGGAAAGAGAAGGGGGGAAGCATCTCCTATATATTCACATAATCTACAGCTCAGATAATTTGTGCCTCGATGTTGATGTAATGGAAGGCTAAGAGAAACCAAGTTACAGATAAGAACGTACATTGAGAAATGCTAGATAATATTTCACATTCCTTGTGAAAATAATGGGACATAAATTAGCCATTGGTGAAAAAATACTTCCTACAGCCAGTATTCTCTCTTTCTCAGTGAAGGATCAGTGTTGCTCCCCAAATAACTGTTGCACATCAGCCAACCCAGAGATATGTAGTAACTCCCAACCCTGGTTTTGTTTTAGAAGTTGTTTGTGTTTTGTATTGCTTTAAATGGTTGAGAAGTGCATTCTCCTACATAATTCATTGATCACTAGAGAGGGAAAAAGAAATGTAAATGTAAGTTTAGAAGTCTTAAAGTAATTCTTCATTCATCCCCAAGGTATTTCTTCAGGCTATCAACTTAAAATTGATTATATAAATCCTTAGATATGCATTAAAACAAACCACATTTTTCATTTAGGAGTTTTGCTACAGGCTTTTGTTCAACTGACAAAATACACTAGGGAGTGTAAAAAATATTTATTCAAACTAATTCAACATAACTATAATTTGCAATACTTAAAAACAAGATTTACAACAGAGTAATGACCTTCTGCCACTCATGTGAAATCATTTTATAATCCATACAGTATTTTCATAATTGTATTTTTACAATAGCTTTAACTTCCAGAGGAGACAATGAACTTTCCCATGGAACAAGTTTCAAACCCACTAATTTGCATCATTCAATTCTTCATGAGACTTTAAAAAACAGTAATAAATTTCTTGGAAATATATACAGTGAAGACCACTGAAAAGCTGTTTTCTCTAAATGAGGAATTCTGTAAGAAATATGTATTATATTGTTTCAAGACTATCTTACAGAGAGCAGCAACTTTCAGAGGTTGCTACTTTATTTAGAGTTTTATATAAAAGTGAGCCCACTAAGACAAATATAATCAGACGACTTACAAGATTATAGTAATTCTTCTGTTACAGCAAGAACTTCAAAAGTATCTGATATTGACTGAGTGTATAATTTTCAGTACCTGTATAGTTTCTGTATACTACTTGGCCATTATATACACTTTTGTACAGCTCTAAAATATTACATCTCAGTAATTAAGATAAACATACTATAGAAAAGGTACCATATTTTGAATTTCTCTAACATACATTATTGCATTCAGGTATGAAGCCCATTCTGCATTTACTTAATTTCTGATGAAAAGAAATACTTACTTATGACACTTCCACTAAAAGATTTTTTTTAAACCCTTCTCCATGCATTTGACATACTAATATGAACAACAAAAAATAATTGAGAAAACCAAATAAATTGTTAAGGAAAAACTTCAAGTACTAAATCTAGGTTAAGTCTGGTATGACTTTGAATAGTAAATGGCCATATTATGTTTGTCAAAATTTAACTCCACAAAACAGTTAATTTCTGTTGAAATTAATTTATAAATACATCAAATAACTGAAGTGCTTATGTCTCCCTCAGCTGGCTATTTTGAACATATTGTAATAGTAAAGCTTACTGTAATAAATAAACTTAGTTTATTACACATTTAAGATTTATCCTTTAGTTCTTTACAGAATGGAGCCATGTTGTCTTAAGAGTGTGTAGCCTGCTCGTCTGTACCATGCTCAAATGAGGTAAGCAAAGTGTCATGTTGCCCCCTTCCAGCCAGTCCATCCACTAGAGCTGGTATGGGCAGAAGAGGGCCTAGTCCTGGTGCAGAGCTGAGTTACACATCCAGGTCTGAAAATTTAGAAGGATGCCCTAATCTGTCAGTTTAAATGTAGCTTTAGTGTCCAAAGTACGTACGTACACACACACACACACACACACACACACACACACACACACACTTCACACACACACACACTTCTACCCCTCTTTGTACTTGTACGGATATTTACATAATCAAAAGAAACATGAAAACTAAACAAGTGCTCTAATACTTAAGGACAAAATAAACAACTGAAATTTACTTCCCCCCATGTAGTTATTTCACTGTGGAGGAAAGAAATGCTATCCAGCACCAGTTACAAAACGGTAAGAGCCATGAGAAAAATAACACTACACACTGCAGAAGATACAACAGGACAGTAAAAATTACCAGTAATACAAATCACCTGGAAGCCATGCTAATTTCTAGCCACCTAAGTGCTAGGTGTTAAGCTGACACATGAGTCCTGTAGAGTGATCTATCTTCTGCTTTCTCTGACCAGTCATTTGAGTATTTTACACTCCCTGTTTGATACCTGCAAAACCCAAGGAAATCTTTACTGACTAATGTCCCACAATTACTTCTCCTTGGTAATGACTCACACGTGCTTTCTAAAAAAAATTCTGTTCATTGTGTGAAGTGCTGAACTGGATGATAGCGTGGGTGTGAAAACATGTATAGAAAAGGCCTTTGGATATAGCCTACATTAATTACACAATTTAAAATATTCTTGTTCTGTAGTTGATGCCTTTTATTTCTATTCAGCTTACTGGCTCGAAGAAAATATTCAGAAGCCTGTTGCCCAACAGAAATACCCAAAAATAATGAAAGTCAAGTCACATTCTTCAGTTCAGTGGTTTCTGAAAGGCTTTACCCTGCCACAAGACAGTGCTTTATTATATTTAAAGAAAAAAAAAATAACAGGAGCAGCAACTTATCACAATTCTCTACTGTGCAATAATGATGGAACCAATACAACATAGAAACCTGTTAGGTGAGACTGTATGACATCTGGAGATCACAGCCTTATGCTCCTTCTTGTTCAGGATAATTTAAAATTTTGCGATGAGCTTGGCGCAAATATTGCTGCTGTTTGAAGTAAACCTTAAAAGCTCCTTTTATAGCAACAAAAGCAATTCCACCCTGAAATAAAAAGATATTTTGAAAACCTGCACAGTTCATTGTCATATTATTGCAAATGTTTTTAAAAAATTTCTGGTCAAAGAAGATTCATTTTCCAATCATATAGCATCTTCTTTTGAAGTTTAGCTAACTAGGACATTTCCAAATGAGCATCTCAGTTTTCTGTCACAATGCACTATTACAGAGGTTTAATATTACTTAAAGGGATTACATACTGGATCTACAAAGCCTTTTGAAAGCTTTTATTTGCTTGGAACTCTGAAAAATATTCTATTCTAAAAAAGTCAAAATACATCCTATTCAAAAATAAAGTAAAATACAGATATGTACCTGCTCTCCTCCATTCTCTGAAAATATACTATGCATGGCAAAAGGAATACTACAGATTTGTATAATCAGACTGTGAAAAAGACCACTTGCCAAATGCAGTTGTGAAGTGAAATAAAAATCTGTTCTTTGTAAAACAAAATTTTTTCAGAAAGTTTTACAATATGTTTAACTCAGACACCAAGAAGCCTCTAGTCTGCATGAACAGTTGTAATATCACTGTTTCTTCCATATGGAAGGGAGGGGTGCATAAACATGTTGGAGTTGAAAACAGGGGCTGCAGTGACAGTCAGATGCCCCAGGATAACATCTTCCCAAACTCAGTGTGCTTCCCCTTGACAGGCTGCAAGCCAGAAAGGTTACCCACAAGGAAGATTCAAGGAACTCCCTCTCTTCATCCTCCCACCTCCTATCAACTTCTACAGAGTTTATTTTTCTCTCCTTGTATTAAATAAGTAACACTGATTCCCTCAAAGAATTAGTAAACAGAAGGTAATATGAAAAGGTTGATAATATAAACCCCAGTCTTCCCTTGCATAAATTGTTCTTAGGAGATGCTGGTTCTTCATCATCTTTATCACCTTTTATTACTGCTTAGGTATGCCTAGTACAGTACCAGATACAAGTTTCAGCCTTGTCCTGAAGTTGAGATTGGTTTCAGTCATAAGGACAAAGTCTCTCACACAGGTGATGCTTGTCCACTGCCAAGATAGGCAACCTTAAAAAAACCCCTTACCTTAATCAAATGTCACACCAGTTCTAGATCAATTTATGGTTTTTTACTTTTCCTCCCTTCCCCCACAATACAAGTTTTTATGAAACAAACAATACTGAATCTTACCAAGATTGTCCTTTGTAAATTTGAGTTAACACTGCTGAACATCAGCTTGCCAACTATTGTGGCAATAGTAGGGAAAACTAGAGCTCCACATAGAATACGTGTAGCAGAGACATGATCTGCCAAAGGGTTGGCCTCTGCTGGAATACGAGGAACAGGACATCCAATGCCTAAAGGGATGAGAGTGAGGGAAGAGAAAGTTACAAAGCCACTACCTCAAACAGAATACAGAAAGCATGTTAGTCCCGACCTCCCACTTCATTATAAATCTATAGCCCAATTACTTTGAGAACTAACCCGCTTCTCAGGGAATATTCTAATCCATTAAGTGACTGGAGTAATTTTTACTTTTAAATAAGACTTGTGATTTTCAATAGCTTGTTTTGTTACTAGGGCCTTAACGGAAACGGTGTTCCTGCTCCTCTTGCCCTACCACCTTTCTCACTAGGTGCTATACAAACACCATCTAAATAGAGTGAACATAAAATAGAGGGAAGGTGTTAATCACTTTTACATAGGAGTGATGAAAACTACTTGCCTATCCCCATCTCCTCAAGGCACAAGTTCAAGGTAGGTATTGCCTTTTAAATTTAGTCACATTACCTGGAAATATGCTGTTCAAAATTTGTAGCTTATTAGAGTATTTGCGCCACAGTCTGAGCACATAGTCCTCCCAACGAATCATCTTGCCCAGTATTAGCATGACTGGGATAGTGGGAAGTCCAATCAAAAGAAATAAAGGATCAGCTCTCTCCATGACATCAAGACCTTCTTTGTGACCCACAACCTGGTAAATATGTATATAGTTGACAAATGTAACAAAGGCCACAACTGAAAAAACAGTGTAACTTCAAAAAAAGTCTAGTTTGTTTGGGGCTGCCCATGCATTTTAAGTTAAAGATAAAAAGAATACTTCTATCCCTAATACACAACATCCTTGATTGCTTATTGAGCATAACACAGGCAAGCTACCAGCCTCGGTTTGCAAGTCATTAATCCTGAAGAGAGCTGGAACACAATTACCTTACCATCTCAAGAAAAATTTCATGTGTTTCTGTGTAAGTAAAAGCCTAAACATCTGAAACATCAAAACAGCATGCTTTCCAAAATGCATAGAAAAATTTACAAATTTAGAATTATTAATTCTACACTCAAACTGATAAGATACTACTCTTTAAAGGATAAATTGATAGCAAGTATGCTGGGATGTTTTTTTTTAAAAAAAACCCTGTTATTTAGGAGTACCTTATGCAACAGAGATCACAGTATTAAAAAGCATTGCTTCTCTAGACAATGCAGGAAGAGGTAGATTATTTTCAACTGCAGTGGAAATAACAGCCTATCTTCACTTGTACCTCATTTTAAAGTGTGGTTAGCGCTACAATTTTAAAGGACAGACATCACTGATGTGCCTAAACCTTTCCACTGGCACATAAAATAATCAGACTTAGCAGTTCATAAAATGTACATATCAAAACTGTAACAGAACAGTGCCTTATGTTTTCCTAAAAAGTACATACTTTTAATTAAGTAATTAACAGTGCTGAGGACAAAGAAAGAAACTTATGTGGTAAATATCCTCTAAAGTTGTCTCTATTTACACATTACTAAATGCTAACAAAGTCGTTGAAGTGCTTCTAGAAAGAACAGGCTCTTTCATGACTTTTTCCGTAAGAACCAGGAAGACCAAAACCATTAAAATAATAATTACATTTGTCAGACACTGGATTTCTTGATGTGTTTTCATTGACTTCTTGTTTTCCCCACAAATACAAGAAGCTATATCAAATCTTCACTTGCACAAAACTTAGAATTAGGTGATAAGGCCAAACAACTAATACCAGCAGTTCTGGAATAAGTAGGACACAGGAAAGAAGCTAGGGTAACATACCACAGTACCTTTTCAAGCCATACTTTTTAGCCTTGCTTTGAAAACCATTCTGTGTTATTCTAGAACAGAAGTTATGTTACATTCCACAGCCTTTAAAAACAAACATAACCAATATTGTTGCCACCAAAAGATTATTCTTACAAAATCTGTCTTCCAGCTTCTTCACTATCTTCACTCAAATTGTATTGTCTGACACTATCCTGTTTCTTCTTACAGTCTTTGTCTATCAAAAAAAAGCCTCAGTATCTTGTCTCTGCTGCTTTAGTTTATTGTTTGTTTTCAGTAACCTCATACAATTTGTTACTGACTTAGCTACCACTGGAGTCACAATGTCAATTCTGTATTTAATTTTTCTCCATCTGAAGCTTAACCTTTAAAAATTGTTTTTGTGCTTCTCTGGCCCTTCAACTAAAGGAAAGGAGTCTGAAATGGATCAAGAAACAAGTTGTATTAAACCTCGCAAATCTGGAGTGGTAAAAGGGGTGAAAGAGTTTCCCTCCATTATAAGCAAAAATAAATTACTCTTTTAACCAGCATGCCATCCATATCATCAAAAAACATTAAATCAGTGGAAAATAGCCAATTCTTCATACCTGGGATTTGACCAGCTCTCTAAACTAATGTTTAGACAGTTCCCCATTTCAAAAGCAAAACAAGTACGGAAAGGAGCATTTCTCTTTCCATTTGTTTATGTAGTTCTAGAGAAGCTAAAAAGGTCATAGGAGTTCCTACAGAAAAAGGCTCAGTGTAGCAGTGAGGAGATAAGGCCTGATATATTTCATGAAATCTAGTTGTAGTTTTACAGATGGTTGCAATGTTCCTGTAAGGGCCACAACAAGAACAAAATATCAGATGAGGAAACTCCCAAGTGTACCATTCTGTATTAGAGACTCATCCACTGGAATGGAAGAGGTATTGAAAAGTCCTTATACATCACTTGACCAGCTGCTCAACCCTGGCCACACTTGTACCAGGGAGACTGTACCATCTCAACTGGACTCCACTTCAGGTGGTTGTCATATACATTTCTACTATCAGATCATGTACAAACAGAACCAAAATAGCACACAATCTCGAGACAGAGCTGTAGAACTGCAGTATCACACAACTCAAGAAAAAGCAGTGCTGAGTGACTTAGATAAGGACTAGATTGTATATTTACAATTAAAACTGTGTAGAGGAATACTTATTAGCATACAGATTTGTAAATTCTACTACAACTGAATTAGCATCAGAAATACTTGTATGCTTTCAGGCAAAACACAGGTCATGAGCATAATATAGGAATCAACAACTAAAATGGTAAAGGTACTTCTAGTTGTAAAGTCTACGAAAACTTGTCTTGTAATTGAGCTAGGGCATCTGTGAACAGGTCTTTCCATGGTTGATGTCTACCACCTATCAATGTTATTTTAATATTTAGATAGCAAGTTCACAAGAACAGAAGTATGAAAAGTATTTTTTCCTCTTTCAACTAACCATACAGTCTGAAGTAATTGAAAGAATATACTATTAGTTTGCACTGTTCTGCATTGTTTGTTTCTGAATAAATTGTACCATTCAGAGCATGCATTTTCCCTTATATAGTAAAAACATGGTAGGACTGAAAGATTCACTGTGTCTTAACCATTTGAATGTTACCAGCAAAACTTTTCTACAGGTAAAAGAGATTAAACTCACATCTTTTCTGAAGAATTAGACAACCATTATTAATAGTTCAGTGGTAGTGGCACCTATTCTGTAGGAACAGAAGATGGTCCACCAGTCTGCCATACAAAGGGCAGCCAGCTAGAGTAGCAGTGAATTTTTAGTTGCAGACTGAACCACATTTGAACAGGCATTGCAGTATGATCAGTTAAAAGTGAAAAGCCTTCTATCCATCCATCTTGAATTCACTTGTTAACTACACCATAAGTGCTGAAAGCAGCTATAACATGTTTTAAGCCAATGAAAAAAAGGAGTCTTAATTGAGTTTTTCATTATAAGACTTGCTTTTTAAGCTGGTAAGAAGAGGGAGTACATGTGTACCTGCATCACTGTCACAGCTCCATACGTTACAGCTGTCCAGTATATGGAGCCCACCATTATTCCAGCTGCAGCAAAGGGACATGCCTTTGAGATCAGTCGATCTGCAAGATCCAAAACGTAAACAACTGGACCTATGATAAAGGGAAAGTAAGGTTTCAAGACATATAGATATATATATAAAAGCATACTGAAGAAAGCTCTCAGCATCCATCACTGATAAGGAAGAATGAACTTGGCAAAATACAAGTCTGACATCCCACACATGCTGTTTAAATGAGAACGTATAATTTAAAAAGTCCTAAGCTAAACCTGTAACTTATTTCTACTTCTACCATTTCATTCACCAGTCTTTGACATATTAATATAGTGGTTAGAGCACTGACTAATTTACCCACTAAAGTTGACTAGCTGCCTTTGTATTGAATCAGAATTGTTCTGTTGTAGAAATCAGGCTTAGCAGCTTCTTTATTTGTTAGATATTATAGTTTAAGAAGGAAGAAATACTAATTAGTTGTGATGTACTTCATGTGGTTATCTGACAGCTTCACATGAGAATTCTGTTACTAATCTATCCTGCTCAACAGTAAAAACTAGCACAATCAATATGAAAGATTTCTTCTGCTGGAAGAGGCTGTATTCAGTATTCTTAGAGGACTGCCCCTCAAAAAGTTGGAAGAAAACCCCCTCCTATTCAGGTTACTTACTGCCTTCAATGACAATGCATGAATAGTTTCCTTGTTCTGTCTATGGACAGCTGCACCTGCCAGACTTCCACAGAGAAACACATTACCCTGACCTATTCTGGTTAGGGAAACAAGGGTGTGCTTACACCTCTTCTTAACAGACTGCAAGAGCACCCCAACAAAGCAAAAGCCAGAAGTTGAAGTCTGAAATGTATGTACATAAGTGAAAAATATCATCCTCATGATCAGATTCCACATTACTTTTGTATGTCCACAAAGTCTACATACAGAATGTCCTCTTCCAGCTCACAGGCATGAATAGTTCTTGTTAGCTCCCTCTTTGTTCCTACCAAAATCAGTGAAAACATTACAGTTACTCTCAAAATCAGCCCATAGGCTTTCTTCAAGTAATTAATCCTCCATGTTTCTTATCACAGTTTATCCACTCCAGCCTATAATTATTTTATTACTTCCTAATATTTTGGTGGTTTTTTGGTGTTTGTTTTTTTTTGTTGTTGTTGTTTTTGTTTTGTTTGGTTTTTTGTGGGTTTTTTTTGGGGGGTGGGGTGGTGAGGAGTGATCTCTCGAACAATGGTGTTAAATGATTTACTGAATTCCTGATATACTAGATGTACAGGACTTCCACTGCATGAACTGCCAGGCTAGTTAGCATGTTTTGTACCCCAATCCTGAGTTGTATGCCATTTTCCTCCTGACCTCCAATTACATCAAAACTTGTTCTGACCTTGCACAGAATAGAGAACATTAGGTTCCAAGGATTTTTTTTCCCCTTTTTTACCTTTCTAAAGGTAAAGATATTGTATTTGGTATTATCCAACTATACAAAAGTCACTTGCAGTTTAACTCTTCACTTGAACACTCCTAATACATAATTTGATATTCTTAGTTTTTTTAGGGTGGTGATAACTTAGCACCCTGTTCCCAAAGATTGTCTCTGAACTATCATATTTGCATCAAATTAATTTAAAGCTGTGCATTTAAATATACAATCAAGAACTGAAATTCATACCAAAAACATTTTGCAGAAAATTTTAGTCAGCCACACAGACAAAACTGTGACTCCTTTTCATGACTTAACTGGTTCTTCTCTAGTGTGAATGCTTTCAAAACCAGCAGTTCTAACTCAGGTCAAGACAGCCAGTGAAAACAAGTAACAGGAACATGTACCTGAACATGTTCATTATCATGTTTTATCAGCCCTGGTATTCTTGTAAGGACTCCCAAATACATCTTGTTCCTGGTGGGGTTCCTCCTGCACCCCCCACCCCCATTTTGTTTTTTGTTTTTTTTTTTTTAAAAAAAAGAACAGCGTAGGATTTTTACATACTGTTTGTACAGCATTAGCATCCAGAGACCTCACAGAGGGATCACAATTTTTTTTCCTTACACAGGCATGTGTGTGAAAATCATACTGAAGAGTTGCAATTTAAACACATTTAGCTGACATGCAGTCTTGACAGAAGTCACTGTAAATATTGCCAAGTCATGTATCAGACTAGTGGGCAGTGCTAAGCAACTTGGGCAGAATATTGTTTAATGTACTCTCTACTCTCACTCTGCTGGAGTCTCAAGTTCTTATCCTACTATTTATGTACTTCAAATTAGTTACTTTTGCACGCATCTTCTAGTACAGCATGTATTCTTTGTTTTAGTAATAAGCTCTAGTTTTAAGGGCAGGAAGCATCTTCCTTGTGGCTTGTAAGACAGTGAACACCTCACCAGCACACTGCTTCATATACACCCACCAATGTAAATTAGTCCATAAGTAACTGACAAAGTGTAACTATAGATTTAATTTATTCTGGAGTTGAGCATCCTATTATTGATAAAGTGCCAAAATTAAAGGGTTTCTGAAGAAAAAACACTCAAAATAAAGAACTGGAACAAGCAGTTCAACTGTATTAACAATTATGTTTAATTTTCCAGGATAGACTGAAAACAGGATGTCTATCAATGTGCTGAAAGTAGCAACAAGGTCATAATGGCAAATACTAAATGCACAGTAATTTACACATCTTGACCGTTTCTCACAGTCACTGAAGTTGTTTAGTTGTACCATTTTGAAAAACTTACATTTGTTTGAAGAAGGTGAAGGCAAGAGACTTGAAAAAAACATCATATTTGTTGAGTCCTAAACAGCAACACGAAGCACTGAAGCTTGCCTTATACATCTTGGCAAGGTGATACAGCAACAGCAGAAGTCTAACACTAAAAGCACTAACAGATTGCACATACTGATCCTAATCATTAGAAAAAGCAAGCTACAGACTTTACATACAAAATCTTGAGAGAAGACTAGAAAAACACTGTTCTAAATTTTTTTTTTGTTATCCCTTTAAGAAGGAGCTTGTGAGACAGGAAGAAAAATGGAACTGTTTCTTTTAAGATGGTATTAAGGAAGAAGCAGGAAATATCACTGACATACAAACTCAAGAAGTAAATACAAAATACAAAAATATTTTTCATTTCGTAAAAATTATCATGCTTTAACAGAGCTTTTCTTGCCAAATTCTATTTTCTATTTATAAAACTGAAATAATTATCTAAAAGTTACTTTCAAAGTGGCAATAATATTTTCCAATTTAATAAAAAAAGTTCTCAGAAGAGAGGAAAATAGCTAGTAAGAACATAGTGCGTATCAGTTTTAGAGCTTGGTAGCAACTATCAAATTTGAAATGGAATTGTAATTTTAAGATACATCACTAGGGGTGGTGGTTTTGAATCGGTAAATAGACACACACTTTTACTTAAAGAAATTCACTGATGTCTCCTCAAGTTGACATTACTTCAAAAATATAATAATAAATAAAAGTAGTTGTGCTAAGGAGTGCCCTTTGACAGAAATTTGGTTTTACAAAAAAGTTTCCAGAAGTACATTAGAGAAGTCTTAGTGTATGTAAGTTTCTGAATTATGATACCTCAGGGAAACTTTAGTTGTTAGTTCTTCCCTCCCTGCTCAAGTAATTTTAGTTTCTTGAATGGTATCAACAGTGATGTCTTCAAAATGTACCTGCTGCACCAGAGACAGGGCTACTGTCAAGACTACTTGAAAACATCTTACTGTCCTAACTCTGCTTGGTGTGACCTTGACGGACTTGAGTTGTGATACAACATTTTTGGGTTACTAGAAAGAACTTCAGAAGAGCAAGACTGTCTCACTTGTTTCAGGCACTTCAAGCTCATGACTGATGGACCCAAATTAATTTCCCTCCTCTACTACTACTACTGATGTCTTGAGTACTCTTATACAAACCTGAATTTTATACCCTTCTCATCTTTAAAAATGGAAAAATATGGTATTATGAGGGAAAATAAATCAAGAGATTCTTGTATGCCTGCATGCAAGACCTGAACAATCTTGTGCAAGAATTTTAGGCTGGCTTCAGAAGCTTAGAATGTTAGTAGGAATCTTAGCTTTCAAATAAAGAATGCCACAAATTGCCGGAACAAATGAAAATACCTGTTATGTGCATGTAACATCTCCAAACTATAGTTTCCTTCTCCCACTGACAAAATAACATGCAAATGCAGGTCATGTTACAAGTTCATCATTCAAGACACAAGTAGTTTTAAACTGCTTCAAGTTTTGTAGTATATTGTAACTGTCCAGGTATCAAATAATTTTTTTCCCCCAAAGCCAATGCTAAATGTTATTATTTGATGCCTTCTTCATGACAGAGATTAAGATTTGTCTCTACTTTATCCTTGTAGTAAAGCTCTATGGATATGAATCGTGGTTGATGTAACTACATAGTTCATGCTCATTTATGTTTGCTTGAATATCAACAGTATTCTATATTTTCTTTCCAATTCTTTAGTGTTCTATTGTGGAAATAAATATCACTACCCATATAAAATTCCCTTCACAATTTTGTCAGCCCTTATACTAACAGAAAAAGAGGTCCTGTCCCAAGGAACTGAGAACGCAAGTTATTTTCAGCTGTTTGATTACAGAAATAAGATACTTTAAAATAGGATGCCTGTACTCACATGCTGTATCAGCATTTCTTTAACAAGCAGTTTTACTTTGAAACAAAGTTTAAGTTTCCATGGCAACATTTCATTTTCTTGCCCTACTTAATATACCCCATAGAACATACAGGCAAATGAGGGCTGGAATAACAGCAACCACTGCTAATTTAAATACGTGCAACATACTGTGCAGTGTCCTATTCAGCTACTCAAATAAGCAGACTCTGGAAGACCATCCCTAAACTTTTTTCCGTCACCTTGATAAACTGAGCTAGAGCAGCATCCTGCAACCACACATATTCTGCCTCTTGAATAGAGGTCAATACTGACTCAGTAATACCTCCCAAACAAAGCAAAAATATGTTTTTCAGGTAATGCAACAGGTTGTTCAGTAAGGTTCCTTCCTCTGAATTTCCTTTGACAACAGTTTCTCTGCAAGCTGAGAAATAAAAAAGGATGCATTTATTTGCTAATATGTGACAAATGTTCTTAACAGAACGGGTTGTTAGGCATTGGAATGGGCTCCCCAGGGCAGTCAGTGGTGAAGTCCCCATCCCTGGAAGTGTTTAAGAGTCAGGCTGACAAAGCACTTAGGGATATGGTGTAGTTGAGAATAGGTTAAGGGTTGGACTGGATGATCTACAAGGTCTTTTCCAACCTTGATGATTCTGTGAACTGCTGAAAGAAGTCACCTTCTGCTCAACAAGAAGAAAAAAAATCACAGTAACCATTAATAAATTACATGTCAATCACTTGCAAGACATCAATATACCTAAGTGGAACAATTCAAAGTTTTCAAAAGGTAGTTAACTAAGTCACCAAATAAGAACAAGCAGAATACAGTTATTTATTTCTGTCTGGAAAAGGGAATAGACAAGTTTAACAGAACTGATGCTCCAAGGACAGAAAAGTAAAAAAAGTAGGAACAATACAAAGAAACAACCCATTATGTTATGTTTAAAATTTAAATGATACATATCTTACCTAGTTTTGGAAATACTATTAAATATTCTGCATTGCACTGAGGACAAGCAACTCTAGCAGTACTGTTTCCTCTTTGCTTTTCATCCACCCAGCGCTGCAGACAAGTCTGATGAACCCATTTCGTAGAGCCCCTGCACCTGCAAGGTCTCACCCACTCTGCTGTCCGATCATCCTCATCAGTAGCAAAACAAACCCAGCAGCTTCTGTAATTACAGGAAGAAAAAAAATATATATATTTTTTTGCTACTTTTACATGCTTAAAATAAAACTTCACATGTGAAAGCATGTAGTTGTAGAAAATGTGCACTTAGAGGAGATGATTCTTGTTGCTTCATTCTTAGTCACCAAAAATATATGTATTATATACCACAGTCTTGTTCTGGTATTATTACAGACAGCTAAGATACTGCTTTTAAGACATCTTGAATTATTAATTTAACTTTCAGGTAATTTATGAATGAAAAAGCATTAAATGTGCAGTTCAACCTCTGAATAATTCAACATAATGAAAAAAACATTTTTAAAAAAAAGATTTATTATCCTCTCCTACAGCAGACATTTTGGTAAATTTTTAAAATTAAAAAGATCAATACAGTAGTCTAACTTGGGAAATTAACTCCAATCCATTTAAATGGCAAAACACAAATGACAGTGTATCACAAACCAAACTGTAAATAATTATATTAATTTCTTCTCTTTGAAAAGAGAAAGCACTTCATTCAGATAATTTATATTATACAAAATTAAAGGACTTGAAGAATACTATTGTACCACTAGAGGAGGAAATTTCTGCACTGAAGAAGTATCTGGATATATCAAATTCAAACATGAATTCTACAAGGAGAAAACACAAGACTGACAGGCTGTGCAACCCAACCTCGAGAGAGCACACGTCCTAGTAATTCCCAGGTATCTGGTCTGATGAATAGGCCAGATCCTTGGACAGCTTACAGCTTGCAAGAGGAAGTAAAATATGGATCTAAACTAGGAAAATATCAGATATGTTGACCCAATAACTTAGTTTTCACTGTGAAATAATATGCTAATTCCCATACTGAAGGTATTGAAGTTTAGATAATAAACCAGAATCTAACAAAATAAGAATCTTACTAGAAATATAATCTGGTTCGATATATATTTTTAAAATAAGTATTTTACACAAGCCATTGCAATCCTAGTTAAACCTTTATAAAAGTACATGGCAAACAGCATCCCTGTAATTTAACTATCAAAACACAATCTAGACATTAGGCATTAACAAGTTTTGCAGCACTATTTTGATTCTGAAGTTTTGTTCTCTACAATTTGAGTAACATCATTAAGATGAAACAGTAGAAGGCTTCTTATGTGTAAGCACTAACAGACAGTAATTGAGATAGTAAAAAGCCGTGAAATGCTCTGGCACTAGTAAACAAAATCATGTTAAGATTCAAGAAACACAATTGCAGTTTCTACATGGGGATGTTACAGTGGTTCATGACGCTTTTCCTCTCCCTCCCCTAGCATTTGTTATCAGTAATAAGCCTTCTTCCTAGTCTTTTAAACTCTTCAATGAATTTTTTTCCTTTTTTCAGCTTCTCAACTACTCACCTTTATACCCATGCCCTCCCATATTTTTTATTTTGGTCTGCCCTTTCTGCATCCCATCTCTAACCTCTGCTAGCATCTAGGAGGAGAAATTACAATTCAGAAGTTCCCTCCAACTGTAGTCATTTTGCTAGATTGTCATATTTGCTGTTGTGGAATCAATACTAAATAGTTGTCAGAAAACTTACTTAAATTTATACTGGATTATATACATACTCTTTTCTCTGCATCCATTTAAAAAAAAAAAAAGGAAATAAAAAGAAACAACACCTGTAACTATCTAAAGCTTGTTAGATGAAATTTAAAAGGGAATTACATACACAAAAGGCCAATCTTACTAAAGCCAAGTTCAAAGCAACAAAAAATACAGTAAACAGGTTGCAGTTTTTGCTTTTGTTTTTAACTACTCTGAGGGAAAGGGAGGAAATGTACATTGGGAAGCCTGATTAATTGAAAAATACTGTGGTCTAACAGATTCTTTTAAGACTTCAGTATTCTGGATATTTGGATAGTATTCTATTTGTACACTTAAAAATGTTTCACAACCGTGTCTTGTTTATAGAAATAACTGTGCCTAAAAAACATTTTCAAGAGATTCTTTTAAAGTATTGAATCTTTTTCTGATTTACCGTGGTGAAAGTATATTGAAATTAAGTTGCAAGTATATAAGACTAGAATGTAGCCTGTAGCAGTTTATTACTGGCATACTTGTTAAAAGGAACACAATTTGAGATGCAGATTCCAGGAAAGACTGCAGGAAAATCAATTTAATATTGAACGAGAGGTAAAACAAACATAACTGTCATGTTCACATGTCCAGTTGTAACTACTGAACATATTATAGGAAGTACAGATGTAAATTTTTAACATTGGTGCTCTGAAACTAGAACCTCACCAGTTTGCATTCAAGAAGACTGACATCTTGAATCAGAACTGCAGTTTCTTCCATTAGTTTTAGTGGAAGGGTAAAAGCAAAGTCTAATTTCACTTTTTTTCTGTCTTTCAGCGTAACATCTGTTTAAATCAGAATCATCATGTTATACACTCCTGTAATACCATCCCTTTTCACCTTAATGCTCCCAACATGCACCTCTAGTAGTCCTAAATGAAAGGACACATTAACCTTCCTAAGCAGGAGGAGGAAAGACAGTGAAGCCACAAGTTAGCATTTTCATCTAGATTCTTACTGAGACTACCACTAAGATCTGAAAGGACTACAAAATGTGGCAGACATTTTGATTCATTGCACTTGTTATCAAGATGTTCTTAAGGAATGCAGGGGTTCTTTCTTTTTTTCATTAAAGGTAAGCCTTCACTCATTTATTCCACATCCTATTTAGGCCTACAACTGCTCTAAATTTGTAACTTAAATTTTTATCTTTAAACTAAACACTTGACAATAGAGCTATTTGGGTCTTGATGCCAGTAAGGTCTGATGCCACCACACCACAGAAGTCTAAAGTTTATTCAAATTACAGATTTAAGCATTAATATAATCTTGCTATGCTGCAATTTTAACTTGTGAATTTGTCCATGAATACTCTGTAGATTAAATTCCATTCAAGTTTTCTGTTAAGGTTAATAAATAAGGAAAAATATGCATCTTTAATTGCGTCATCCAATTTCTTGCCAGGCAATCATATCTTAAAACCTGAAAGACCCATGAAAAGAATAACAAAATCCTTTACAGACTTAAACCTTCAGCAAGTCATGAATAATGAACAGTAAATTCCCTGTATTCTGTCATCGGCTTTATCTCTTTCCATTGACAGCAACTGTAGCAGAAAGGGCTAAATAAAACCATTTCAAAACAAGTATCTTGGCTCTTGCCAGATTTTCCATTTTCTTGTACTGAATAAAATATGACCTTGATTCTTACCACTGAATCAGGTTGCTACTCAGATAACCTGAAATAGAAAAGGCTGACAAGGTAGAACAAAGCATTGTTTCTGATAGAAACTCAAACCTTTTTCCTTGATGACTTTATACAGAGCCAAATCAATAACACTAATGTATTTTTCCATACTTCTTGGCTTTAAAAAACCCAAACCAAAACATACACAAAAAACCCCCAGGCCAATATCATTATTTCAGCTTTGAATACAGGGTTACAAATGCCTTTGAGATTCAGCTCCCCAGCAGATAAAGCTCGCTCATCTCAAAAAGTCTATTCTGATTCTGAGAATAACTCATTTATCGCATCTTTTTTTTTTTTTTTTTCCTCTACCAAACTCTCTTCAGGACACTGCATATGTTAAGAGCAAAGCAGATGGAGAGAATGTTGTATTAAAGACTCGAGATCCTATACTCCAAATGTTACATGACTAATCTAGAAAGCCAAGGTCTGCCTAAAAACACGCTTCTCCAAATCACAAGTTTCTAATCAATAAGGAAGCCACTCTGTCCTGTACCTGCTTAGAGTTACAGCTCCAACACACCAGTAAGATCCTCCAGTACCAACAGACATAGCTAGAGGCAGACAGCTTTCCTTTTCATTGAGCTATACTCCCTCTAAGGGTTACTTTTTTCCTCTAAACCAGTCTTACATGGGAAGGAGGACAGGATCTAATTCATGTTATTTAAGCCAAATCTGCCCCAATCTGTGGGATCTGAATTCACTGAGCAGGCATGACTGTAAAGCAATACAAAGAAGTAATTTAAAAGCAGTATGTTAATTATAAATATGCTAGTAAAAAGTTTGCACAACTCTTTAGTGCCCCATAAACCCAGCAGATACCCTTGTGTCCACAACACTTAATGGAAGATGACTTGTGAGACTGGAACAGCACAGCTGCTTTGTAAAAGCTGGTTTCAAATATTCAGTACTGCAAGAGAACGCAAAAGTCTTGGGATTTTTTTCCCTGATGTTCAGTGCCATGCATGTATGAACAGCAAGCAAAACCAGAAAACTTCAGAGAAAATAAAATACCTGCAAGACTTAACAAGACCTAACCTAACCCTTACCATGGAAATTCAAATTTAAACATGCATGACATGCTCTAGAGCCATGACCTAAAAAGCATTTTTTCCTCTTATTACAGATCCTGCATAAAATAAGAAATCTCTAAGAAAACTTCTCTTCCACATCATAAAGCACACTGCTTTCCCTTAAAGCAGCAGGAGTTTGCTGATATCTTGCTATCCGAGTAAAGCATCCTTATTCTGCTAAGCAGCAAGTGACTGAGTGGCTTATCGCAAGTGAATTTTACATCCAAAAAGTGGAAAGGCTGAAACATAACTGATAACAAGGATAGCACAGATAGCCAATGCAGTGAGGGATGTAAATGCACCTTGGAAGAAGTAACTGAAAGCACTCCCAACAACTGGCCATAAAAAAAGGCACTGTTCCAAAGGATGATCCACAAATCTGCTGTTTGTAAGAGGTAATTTTTCATGAGCTGTAACAAATTTTTATGCATGGTCTATATTGACAGATAAAATATCTTTGATGAAGAATAGTGATAAGCTTCCACTAAACCTGCCAACTATAAATACTGTAAAATCATGTTTAATGGGAAGACTAGGATGTCAGAAAAATCAAGGGAGTTAACTAGTAGCATACAACACAGGCAGGCTGCTTTGGAACAGGCTAGAGTTTTAGTAGGGTAACACTGCAAACTGTTCTCTCAAAAAGCAAGATAAACAACACATTGCAAATGCTACTGGTAAACACTTCCTTTTCCTGAGTTTGAAGGAGCCAGAAGAAACAAGATT